GGGCGGTGCCATGGGGGGGGGGGGGGGGGGGGGGTCTTTGGTATGCTCCAGGGACCTTCCTGGGGACAGTTCCACCGTGGCAGGTGACAGATCCCTGGTGAGGTACAGGGCATGGCAGGCTAGACATTATAATGTGTGTGCCAGCGTTGTGGTCAGCCCATTCAGAGAAGCTCTCGGTCACAGAGAACATCAAACACAAAAACATGAAGAGAACATGGCCCAGTCAGAACTTTAGTCATGCCTTCAACCGTGACTGCAATTAATCAAAAACAAGAACAGAGATCCTCACCCCCAGGATAAGGACCTGTGTCATCGAGGAGGCAACATTTGCTGAGGTTAATTTATTTGTGTCCGGGAGGAGCTGTGCTCCGCAAACCGGCTCACCGGTATCCCACAGGGGGGGTGCTGATGGGGTTCGAGCTCGTCCGCTCCAGAGCGGCCTGCTTCTGCTTCTTCAGGATCACCTCTTGGAGCTTCTGCTTCACCTCGGAACTGGCCACGGCGCCTGTCAATCAAAGGCTCACCCAATCAGGGATAAGGAGAGTCCACCTGACATATCCGCCCGCCTCCCCATTCCAAATGTGGTGTCATAGAGGACATGCTGTACATTCATGGGGTCTGGGAGAGCGGGAAGCGTGAGCATAGGGGCTGAGGGGCGATTCGAGGCGGAAGCACACCCAGGCGGGGATCCCAAACATGCGTAGGTGGGGAGGGCAGCATGGTGGGTGTGTGCGAGACACACTGAGAATGTGTGTCCCGGGGCGGGGGGGGGGGTTTGGTAATTCCGGCTGTTGCTGGGACCTCTGCACATTACTCTTTCACAAGGGGCAAAAACAAATATTCACACCAAAAATGTACTGCCTGAGTCAGTTATTAAATTAGGCAGATCAGTGTAAAGGGGCTTTTATGTTTAAGGCACGGGTGTCAAACTCCAGCCCTGGGGGGCCAGAGCCCTGCACATTTTTGGGTTTCCCCTCATTTAACACACTTGATTCAACTCCTTGTGCTAATTACCACACAGCTCTTGAGCTGAATCATTTGTGGTGGAACAGAGAAAGAACTAAGATACACAGGGCTCCGGCCCCCCAGGACTAGAGTTCGACACCCCTGGTTTAAGGAGTAACTTAAAGAAGGGCTGCAATGGGAATCATGGGGAGTGACAGGTAGGCGATATTCAGTTCTCCTTATGCCCCCCCC